TGGACAGGCTTTGCTCTGAGATAGAGGCTGGTTTTTCAATGTCATTTATAATAGCAACTCACATGACAAGGCACCTAGGAATAAACCCAACAAAAGATGTGCAAGATCTGGGCACAGAGAATAACAAACTCTACTGAAAGACATTCAAAAAACTGTTATGGTTTGGATGTGAGGTCTCCTGTGCTGAGAGCCATAGCCAAGTAGGAATGACATTTTTGGTTCAAAGGTGAAGCCAGCAAGCCATTGAGATGATAATGATTATGTTAAGATGGGCATTCAATTGGAGATTAGACCCCTGCTGTCTGCCTCCGCCTGCTACTTTGGAGCTCTCGTGAGAGTTCCCATTGGTTGGGGAAGTGCAGTAGGAGGGAATTCCGGAGGAGGGATTTCCTGTTGGAGGAGTGTGTCCCGGGAGGAGCCGCGTGGCGTGGTTGGATTTTTTTCCCCAGGAGCGTGTGTGGAGTGTGCTGGTGGAGTTCAGAAAATAAAGTTTGTTCCTGCTTCAGTGGCTCGTGATTTGTGCCCAGCCAGACTGCGTGCGGCACCCCGAAAGCTCACATAGACAGTGCAAGAAGGTGAGTTGACCTTCATGGGATTAACTGAAGTGGTAGGGTGTGATGGAGGAGGAGGAATTGAGAATTGGTTTGGGGTGTCTATTTCTGTCTGAAGAGTGGAGTTTCTGTCTCTGCTTTCTTTTTAAATTTTTTTTTAAAGTTGTACATGGACACAGTGCCTTTGATTTATTTATTTATTTTTATGTGGTGCTGAGGATCCAACCCAGGACTTTGCATGTGCTGGGCGGGCTCTCTACCACTGAACCACACCCCAGTCCCTCTGTCTCTGCTTCTGATCACCATGATGTGAGCTGCTTCCCTCTGCCACACTCTTCCGCCATGTGCATCCTCACCTCCAGCACCAAGAAATGCAGCTAACCTTCTGTGGACTTAGACCTCTGAAATAGTGAACCCTCACATAAACTCTTTCTCTTCTATAATTGTGCTGGTTGGGTCCTTTAGTCACAGCAACGAAAAAGCTGACTAAAATAGAAACCTAATTTTAAAAGAGAGTTATTCTCTTTTGGAAGACTCAGAATCATAAAATGTCAATCAATACTCTCCAAATTTACCTGTATATTATATGCAATGCCAACAGGTCGCATTGTTGTTGTGTGTGTATGCCCAACCTGAGAGGCTTGTTTTAAAATATGAAAAAACAAAGACCAAGGATAGCCAATCAGAGATGAAGAAGGAAAAAAGAGGAAGATTTTGCACTACTAAATATCAAAGACTTTTAATAAAGCAATGATAACTAGTGTGGCACTTGACATTAAGATAGACAAAATTTCTGGTAGAAAAGAATAGAAAACTCAAAAATAGACCTATTCATAACTGGAAAGTTGGTATATGACAAAGTTAGAAAGGTGGGGCTAGTCAATGAACAAAGCCGAAGGAGGAAAGTCAGTTGTAAACGTCAAAAGCAAAAATAAATACTTTTAGAAGAAAGAGTAGATTAATATATATTGTGGGGTGAAACAGGATAAATATTTACAAATTCAAAGTTAAGAACATCTACTTCTCAAAATAGAAAATCCAAAGAAAAAGCACAAATGGAAGAGTAAATTTGCAACATGTGTTACTGACAAAGAATTAGTGTCTGAAATATATAAAGAATTTGGCAAATAATTCACTAAATCAATGGGCAAAAGACACCTAAATGACCATTACATACATGAGACAAAGATAGCCTTGGTAGACTGGCCCCTAACTTGTTCATTTCTTCAAAACAGGATGGGATGGATTAGCCCAAAAGCCAGTAGCACCAAACTCAAATATTTACACATCCAAGAAGGTTTTTGTAGGCGTTGTTTTTTCCGAGGGAAGGGGTCTTGCAGTGTTACCCAGGCTGGCCCTGAATTCCTGGGTTCAAGCAAACCTCTTGCCACCACCTTTCAAGTACACACCCAAGTGTTTTAAACATCACCAAAGCGGATTGTTAGCCACTTGGAGATGCTTGCCTGAAGCTTATGAAACTGTGCCCACCGTCTGCTAGCCACAGATAAGATAAACGCTCCAGTTATAAAGTCCAGTGACTGGCTGCTGCCTTGGAGCTTTCTGGCCCAGAGACTTTCCAAGGCTGTGAACAACAGCACAGCAAGCTCCCTCTCCTCTGGGGGTTTCCTTGCCCTTCTTCCCTCTTGAAGTTAGTTCCTCCCTTCCCTGCATCTTCATTTGTTGTGAAGGAACTCCCTTGCATACCAACCCATCAATGCTGGCCCAGGGAAAGCCTGTGTGGCCTATCCACATCCTGGTCTTATTTTTTTTTTCCTTTTTCAGCCCTAAAATACCATAAGCCCCCTAAAATTTCTCAGCAGAGGAACTAAGATGGCCAAAATATATGTAAAAGAGATGCTCAACCTCAGAGATAGGCCAATAAAGCCAGGATGAGATGCCACTTAACTCTCATCTCAACGACAAAAATCAAGAAATCCGAGATGTTCGAGAAGATATAATTGTTGGTGGTGAGGTAGGATAGAAGAAATATTTAAAAGATGGGCAAAAAAAGAATCAAGGGGAAGGGAAAGTGAAGCCAGATTTAAAATTAGGTAGTCAGTGTAGTTAGGTAAATCGGGTCTAATATCGAGTGAGATCTAAAATGGAGGCCATGTTGAGAATGAATTCCCGGAAAAGTTGAGCAACTCTCGGAATGTTAATGAAGTCCCGGAAACAGCCCCCAACAGATTTGAAGATAGCCCATCCCAAAGAAATGTTAATGAACAGCCCCAGCAGATTTGAAGATAGCCCATCCCAAAGAAAGGTTAATGAACAGCAGACTTGAAGATGCTGACTTGAAACTGCCCAGATTACTTCTTTGGCCCACCTGTGTCCCAACCCTTCGGGCCTTCCCACCTACATTCCATCACTGAAAACTATAAAAAGGGGAAACAACCGCACTTCCAGGGATTCCACCTCTTGAGTCCCCTTCTTCCTCAGGGAGAAGTCTTTTCTGTTGTCCGTTAATAAACTTCTAATTTTCCACTCTGACCTTGCCTCGGCGTGCTTCTCTGGTGTTATTCTTCAACATTGGGAAGGACTCATCACCGGTCAACAGCGGTAACAAAAGGAGACTATAAAACTTCAATCTCAAAGACTTGTACTGAAGTTTCTCTTACTGTCTAGCCACCCCCACTTCCAAGCTGGTTCTCTCTCTCTGGCCTGTCACTCTCAAATTTCTAGGAAATCCACAAATCTTCACTTACAATCTTAAGGTCACTAGAAATTCACCCACTTATGAAAATTGACCATGTCCTGTTAATTAGCTCATCAATATATGTATTTTTAGAACAGATTGACCAAAGAAAGATACAAAGCCCATAATATAGGGTAATTTCCCAGAGTTGATCAGATAATGGATAAGAAGACAACCTAAGGATCCTGAGAATTGCCAAACTACTCTAAACCATCGCATGATCATCAGACTGATGTCATCCCCATATACCTTCCTGTGCCCACCCCTCACCAAGTTTCCTTTTAAAGAAGTGCTTGAGAACCCCAACAGCATATCTCACTCATAGACCACATTGTCCCTTGAATGCCTGCTCTGCATTCCTAAATAAATCTGTGCTTCTGACATATCCTGAAATTCCTTTCTGCAAAGTTGTCAAAGACCCTGATGTCCTGAGTTGGGTCTTCCTCTGTAGGACTTCCCTGAACCCCCTTCAGTGACAGTAGGAGTGTAAAGTGATACAAACACTTTGGATAAAAATTTTGGCACTATCATATTAAATACTGGCATACGAAAGACCTATCCTTTCTACCCCTAGGTAAATATACCCAAGAGAAATTTTTGTGCAGGGGCACCAGAAGGTAATGCTCATAACAGCACTATTGGAAATAGCAAAAGACTGGAAATTGTGTGTTTGGCAACTGGAGAATGGATAAATAATGGTACATAGTTGATTATTATGTATACTTGCCTTCCTTGCCTTTTGGATGGTTCATGAACAGTAGCAGCGGAAATGAACAAAACACAATTTTACTCATCAATGATTTTATATATGCATATATATGGGCATGTTTTACATATATATACACATACATTAGTAGGCATTCAAGGAAATATATATATATACATACACACATTCATATATGTATATGTAGATGGCCACAATACCTTCATTTTATTTATTTTTTTGTGGTACTGAGGGTCGAACCGAGTGCTTCACATGCTAGGCAAGCGCTCTAAACACTGAGCCTCAACCCCAGGCCCATGAATGAATGAATCTTCAATCTCAAATGAATGATGAATCTTAACCTTCTGTGAAAATAAAAGTCCCAGGACACTAGCTCAAAGTTTGAACACACACACAAAACTAATGAAAATACATTTCTTAATACATGTGAAAAGAAACCAAAGCAATGCAATAGTTGTGTAAGTGCAAGTTCTGGACGGAGCTTACTGCCGCGGGGAAAGCAGCAGCAGGAGACGAGCCACATCAGCCCCGGCACAGCTGAGGTCAAGTGTCCCGGGGGCACTGCACTCCCTGGAGGCCGAGGACAGCCGGCGTGGCGCACCTAGGCAGGCTCCACCACCGAGCTAGCATCCCCAGCCCTCACTGGGGACACTGCCGTTCCAGGGTGTCGTTTTAAACATCGGTTCTGTTGGGCCTAGGGCCCTCCAAGGGCTGCTGATGGGAGCGCACCAGGCGCTAATTCTGCGACGTCGAATCCATCTTCGGACAGGGCTGATGGCGGCCCCGCCTGCAGTCCCCCGGCCGGCCACCGTGGGTGACGGAGGACCCCACGAGGCCGAGCGCAGGGGCGCGTCCCCTCCCCCCGCGGCCGCACCCCCGCCGCGGACAGACCCTCAAGCCAGCCCAGACCTGGCCACCAACCCGAGCTCTCCGGGGCACAAACAAAAGAGCCCGCGTCACGTGGGCACCTCCCACGCCGGCGCGCCGGTGACGTCACGGCCCGCGCCCGGCCATTGATTCCCGGCTGAAGGTAGCGCGGGCGACGTGGTGGGGGAGGGCGGGGGGAGGGTCCGGCGGCTGCGGCGGCCACCCGGCGCGGGCTGCGTCCCGAGGAATTCCCGGACGCGGTAAGTGGCTGTCCCCTTCTCCGCCGTCACCTGCCCGGGCCCGGCTTGCGTGGCCTCTGCAGCCTCGGGGGCTGTGGGAAGGGGAAACGCGGGGGATGTCGTGGGGGGCGCTGAAGGTGGCCGCAGGGGCAGCCAGGGGACGCCGCGGCTGCTGGGGACAGCGGCGGGGCCCCGCAGCCTTCCGGGAGCGGGCGCGGGGCCCGTGCCTCGGGTGCGTGTGTGTGCAGCCGTGTGCACGCGGGTGTGGGCGGCCGAGGCTGCGCACGGATGCTCTGCCGGCCGCGCCGGCCGGAGCCGAGCAGCTGGGTACCCGGGCCCCGGGTCCTCTGTCGCTGCCCCCGCCTCCGAGAAGGACTGGAGAGCGCGGCGCCTGGGACCGCTCCTGGGACGCGCCTTCCAGCGCCTTCTCCCCCAAACGCACTGGACCAGCAGCTCACCCCGGGGATAATACCCGCTGCCCGTGCGTGTCTCGCTCAGTGACGGCGTGGGAGGCCACCGCGGAGAGCCCACTGCGGGGTCACGGCCGCTGCGCACAGCCTCCGTCTGGCTCTGGTGCAGGAGGCCTAGTTGCGTCACCTCCCTTTCCTTCATCTGTTTGGCTTGATTCCTGGGCCCCACTAGAGGGTAAGCCGGCCCGAGGTGTTCCGAGGTGGTGTCAGCGTTTGGGGAACTTGCCTCCCCAAAGGGATACCTGTCATGGGATTTTGAGTGCCGTGGGCAGGCGAGGGCAGTGCAAGCGCGCAGTTAGCTCAGGCGCAGAGTCTAAGCTGCAGCGGGAGGACACACACAGAGGCCTGCACCACCGGCTGGTGGCCGGTCGCTGGAGTGGGAGGCAGGGATGCTAGAGCAGGTCATTGGGGGCACAGAACACGGGAGCTTCAAAATGTCGCCAAGCGCTGAGTGATAATACCAACTTGTTTCTCTACCAAAGGGCTCATTTCTATTGCCTTAAAGATCCTGAAATATCTTGTTCATTATTTACCAAGAGAAAAGTGCTTGCTGTAGGGGAGGCAGAGAAATGGAGTGGAAAGGGGCATAAACTTAGCAGCAGTGTGACATTGAGTGAGTTATTTAACCTCTACTCCTACTTGGGCTTATCTACAAAATGCAGATTATTATACCTACCTTGCAGGGTTGTCAGAATTTGAAGTGTTTAGCTATTATTAGTAAGGGCCTAGTACCCAGGCACTTGAACTTGTCAATACTGAAGATTTTTTTATTGGTTCAGCTGCTTGACAGACAGGGGATCTTTTTGCTATTTTGGATGTTTGCTATTCTGCCAGATATGATAAAGCAGACTGGTGTGAGTGTGAGTGTGTGTGTGATGAGGGGGGATGGGGAGGAGTATCAAAACCCATAATCTCTCTACTGTAGATCATATAAAATGCTAGATCTGGAAAGAGATTAAGATCTCACTTTATTAATTATAGCTTCTCTTTAATGTTTATTTCATACCTGTCACCATGTGAAAAACTTCACATATACTAATTTATGTAATCTCTCCAGCAACTTAATGCAAGAAGTAAATATCATCCCCATTTTACAGATGCACAAGGTGAGTCTTGGCCTAAGTCCTGTTACTACTAGTTAATAGCAGAACTGGAACTTGAGCCAGGGCATCAGGCTCTGTGGTTTGGGTCTTATTCTTTCTAGTGTTCCAGCAATGTGAAGGTGGTATGTGGGGGAAGGGAAAGCCAGCATTGGCTGCAAAAATAGCATCTCATATTGTTCCAATGATACCTTATTTTTTTATTTTACATTTTACCCAGCATTGTCCAGATGTGAACCAAGATTTGGCCTTTTCACCAAGAGAAAAGGGAAGGCTCATGGGCATGGGCACACAGTGCTGAGATCGTGGGCACACAGTAGGTATTTGGTAAATGCTTGTGGAAAGAACAAATCTTGAGGCATTGTCATTCTTGCCAGAAGGAGGCCCTATGCTTAATGCCACCAAGTCTCCTTAAGCTAGCTATTTTTATATACAACACATTGTAACATAAGCATCTGATTCATGGATTTAAAGATCTGAAACTCTTTCAGACCAAGATTGGTGTTATTATCTGTGACTAACTGATTAGAGTTTTTAAGTATGCGAACAATGGAATCTGAGCTTTTGGGCTTTTGTAGTGATCTCTTGAGATATACCAATTTGTTTTGCTCTAACATCTGTTCAACGTGGACTTTAATGGGTACAGCTGCTTGAGTTAAGTTTTCTGGAGAGCACCAGATGATTGTTTGGCATCCAGAATAAAGAGTTCAAAATATTAAGTTTCTTTCAAATTTAAGTTTTTGAGAAAGTTCTGTGACTGATGTGGATTAATGTGGGAATAGTAAACCAATTTTATTCATTTGTTCATTTATTTATTTATTTACTTATTTTGCAGTACTGGGGAATTGAACCCAGGGGCCTCATGCATGCCCGGCAAGCGCTCTACCACTGAGCTACTTCTTCAACCCAGTAAACTAGTTTTAAACAGATGGCATTCATGGTGTTTTTGTGTCATTTCTCTATTCTGTGTCATTGCTTTCTTTAAAGATGACTTAGGTCCAGATAGTGAACTATTAGGAACATGCGAGGTTTATATAACCCATCCACATAAACTGATCTACACACACATGCTGCAGTTCCTCTACCCAAGAAGCTCTGGTTCTGTTTCTCACAGATGCCCTGAGGCCACCTGTTTCACCATTTTTATCAGACTCGATGAGACCCTCTGACATCTCTCTTCCTTTCCCCTTTATACCATCCCCGACCGCACACAAAAAGTGTCACCCCCATACACATTAATCTAGTTGCAAATGGAAGAAATCCAAAATGAACCAACTTAAAAAAAAAAAAAAGTTTTTTCCCATTTTGGTTATTTAACTAGAAAGTCAAAGGTGAGCTTCAGGCATGACTAGATTCTGGGGCTAAAATGATATCATAAAGGCTCTCTTGGCCCTGTCTTTCTCTGTTCCTTTTGTTTTTGTTTTTGTTTTTTTTTTTTTTTTGCTTTTTCTGTGTACTGAAAAACTTGATTCTTGGCAGTCTCAAATTTATGACCTTCTAGCTGTCTTCTAGCATCTCAGCTAATCACTACGACAAGGGTTAGGGCTAGGGATTTCACAATTGAGCAGGTCTCTGTCTCAGGCCCACACCTGGGATGGAGAAGTAAACTGTCCCTCCATCAACTCATGGGCTTCCCCACCTGCTGCTGCTGGGGATCAAACCCATGCCTTGAGCATGCTGGGCCATCCCCGCACACTGAGCTGCATGCCCAGCCCCGCCCTGACCACAGGATGGGCAAGTGCAGAGGACTAGGCAGGCAGAAATGCCAGACGACTACCGGAGGTGTGCATCTGTGCACAGGCACATGTGCTTGAATGTGTGCTCATATCTCACTTCTTCAAGGCCCTTCCAGAACCTTCCAACTGGAATGAATCCACTGGTCTTGCTTGTCCGTCACGCACTGTTCTCTGCGTGGCGCAGCACCCACTGTGCTCTGCACTCCTGCCACGCCTCTGCATCTTCCTTTTGTGCTGCCCTTGCCCTCTGCTTCCTCTGGCTAGCTTTTGGACCAAGTCATGCTTCTTCCAGAAGCCTCCGGAACCCTTCATTGAGTTAGATACCCCCTCTCTCTGAGCACACCCTGTAGTAGATTTTTATTTCTGTTTGGTAACAGTTTACCATTCTGTTTTCCACTAAGCAGAACCCCTTTTTTGTATTCCTTACCTCCTACCCTTAGCCAGCATTATTTTTCTTCAGAGCACACACAATCACTGGCTTTCTATATTTATTTGTTTATTATTTTTCTCTCCTCTTTGGAACATCAGCTTCATGAGAACAACCAGGAAAGGAACATTGCCTTGTTTGATATCCCTAGTGCCTAGGATGGTGCCCAGCACATAGTAGGTGCTCAGTTAATGTTTAGTAAATGAATGAATGAAAATTTGCCCAGAGGAAGAAAATGCTAGCTTCATGTTACTAAGGATTCCAGTCAGCATGATAGATGGAGTCTCATTGTAAAGGTCTGACACTGAGTATTGCAGATCATCCCCAGAAGGCAGAACCTTGCTCTCCATGTGGGTTTGAACCTGCAGAGATCAGGCCCAAGGAGAAGCCCACTGGGAATTCCACCCTGTGTGGACATAGACCTGACTCACTCTCAAATGCTTCTGAGTCTCTCTGGTTTTTTTGTTTTTGTTTTGTTTTTGAGATGAGGTTTCCCTATGTTGTTTAGGCTGGCCTTGAACTTCTGGGCTCAAGTGATGAGCCTCCTTGTGCAGTGTCCCAAGTATCTGAGACTACGTGCACATGCCACCACACCCAGCTCCTTTCTGAACTTTGATAGGTTGTTTATTAAGGATTTTTTTTTTTTCATATCCTAAAGCTTTTTTCTTGGATATTTATTTTTGCAGTGATAGGGATTGAGCCCAGGGCACTGTACCATGGTACTACAATCCCCAGCCTTTTTTTTTTTTTGGAGATAGGGTCTCTCTAAGTGCTAAGGCTGGCTCAAATTTGCCATCCTTCTGCCTCAGCCTCCCAGGTAGCTGGGATTACAGGCATGTCCCACTGCATCTGTCAGGAGTATTTATTTTTAAAACATTTCCTTGGGCACCTACAATGTGCCAGGCACTGTTCTAAGCTCTTTATAAACAGCAACTCATTCCTAGGCTGAGGTTTTGGGGTCAAGGGTTATGAACTTTAAGACTTGTTTTCTTTTTAAATATCAAGACACTCATGAAAGGACAAATGGAAGTAAAACATTCCCATTTTAAAATTATGAAAGAAGTAAGGTCTCTCCATCAGGTTCATCCTGTCCCCCAGAAATAGAGCCACCAGTAACAGCTGGGTGTCTGCAGCCCTTTCCTGAGGTCTTCACACTCATGGTAGTAAGTACAAGTTACTGCATCGTCAGCATGCACGCTGACCTGCACCTGGCCTTTGCCATTGCTGCCGTCAGTGTGACATCAGTGGCACCCACTGCCATTGTCCAGAGCCTCCTTGCCCTGGGATGTGTGCAGAGCCTGTGGGGGACCAGTGGCTCTTCAAGGCAGTGGCGCTCAAGCATCTGACTTCAGCCCTCTCTTAGGGGGAGCCCAAATCCATACCCTCACTCCTCCACAGCACACCATCTGCCTGGGTTAGTGCTATGCCTTAACTTGGGGGAATCCCACCCAGTCCATGCCCACCTCCAACACCACACGACAAAGGGAAAATATCCCTGTCTTTCTTTTTAACAATAACAGAAAAGTAATTCTCATGCAGATACAGACTGAACCCCATATCTCCAAGCTCCATTCCAGGCCAGCTGCAGTACTCATTAGAGTGCTTAGTCCTGATTGCTTCCTAAAAAGCAAATACAGATTGAGTGTCCCTTATCCAAAACGTGTGGGACCAGAAGTGTTTCAGATATCAGATTTTGGAATAGATGCCTACACATCCTGGGGATGGGACCCAACACTAAGCATGAAATTTCACTTACATTTCATATATGCCTGGCCTGTTTTAGCCAGCTTTTTCCCTGCTGTGACTAAAAGGCCCAACCAGTACATTCCATTCCTCAGGCTCAAGGTGAGGAAGGATGTGATGGTGGAAGAGTGTGGTGGAGGGAAGCAGCTCACTGATCATCAGGAAGCAGAGAGATCTCCACTTGCCAAATACAAACATATGCCCCAAACCCACGCCCCCAGTGACCCACCTCCTCCAGCCACACCCCACCCACCACTAGTTACCTCTCAGTTAATCCCATTAGGGGTTATTTTGTTGATTACTTAAGGCTCTCACACCCAAATCATTTCCCCTGTGAACCCTCTTGCATTGGCTCACACTTGAGCTTTTGGGGGACATTTCATATCCAAACCACAACAGCCCAAATGTACTTTTATACAATTTTTAAAAATAATTTGTGCATGGAATAGCATTTCATGGTATGGAATTTTCCATTTATGGCATCGTATCAGAGCTGAAAGGTTTCATATTTTGGAGCATGTTGGGTTTCCGATTATCAGAGAAGGATGCTCAGCCTGTTCCCGTTCCCACTGCCGTCGGCGATGCCTGAGCACTGGATGTGTATCTCCCACCTGCCCTCTCTAAATCTGGCCATTTTAACTAAAAAAAGGAAAATCTAACTCAATTGAAAATGGTATTTCATTGTAATTTGTAAGTGAACATTTTTTGCTTATCTTACTACTTTTATTTCTATTTTCAAAATTCTCAAATAATATTTTGTTTATTAATTTATTATGCTCAAGTGGTTTTAACATAAATTATACAAATGCTCCAAAAACATGAGTACTTGCTCATTGCAAAAGAAAAAAGTTAACTTGCTCTGAACATTTTCCCATTTTATCATTCTTCACCTAATTTTGGCTTTATTGTTAAATATGTAAAACCTATTTTTCATTCTTATGTAGACAAATTTTAATCCTTTTTGATTGCTCTCTTTGCTTGTAAGTTTCAAAGTTTCTTCTTCATTCTGTATTCTAGTTTTGACATGACTTTCAAAAGCTAATATTCAGTTTTATTTCAGATTTTAGGAGGATACTTGATGAAAATGTGTGACACTTTAAATAAAAGCAGTTTTCATTAGATAAAGGTCTATGTTTTATTTTAAAGATATTTACATTACTATGCTTACATATTTTCCCCTTTTAAAATAATTTATCAGACTAGCAAAGCTTGCTCCCACAAACCGATTCAAACGGAGGTGGTTCCCTACGTCTAATGATCTGACTTTCGACTTTCCAGTTTATAATGGCTCGGAAGCCATACACATTCAGTCCCAGGTCAGCCACACAGAGAGGAGGGGAGACCACAGTGCTCCGGTTACTGCTGCTAAGCTGTGATGTTCATGGGTTAGGTGTGTAAGCACTCTCTCTCCTTGTTCTGTTTTCAACCTGCGATGGCTCATTGGGCTGTGGCCCCATCATAAGTCAGGGGGCACTCTTTCTTATAATTTTGGTGTGCCTAGCATTTCCATAAATTGCTGCAGGAAATGATATTGATCTGGAGCTGTGGGGTTTAAAGAGGCACTCAGCTGTCAGCAAGCAGCTTCTCAGTAGGAGGTGCTGATGGATTCCCCTTCCTCACTTTATCCTAAGACCTTTTTATTGGGATATAGCTATGTGTGACCTATGTGTTCTTTTCATATATTTTAATTGCCACCCAGATGGAGAAATAAATCTTCCCATTGCCCCAGGAAGCTTCCCTGTGCCCCTTTCTTTTCTGGGGGTGCTCTACCACTGAGCTACCTCCACAGCCCTTTTCCTTTTAATTTGAAACAGTCTCATTAAGTTGCCCAGGCTGGCCTGGAACTTGTGATCCTCCTGCCTCAGCCTCTGGAGTCTCTGGGGTTACAGGCATGTGCCACCACACCCAGCCCCTGTACCCCTTTGTAGTCACTACTACTCCCAAAGACCACTTCTGTGCTGATGTCTAGGACCACAGATTCGTTTTGTCATTTAAATTTCATACGAGTGGAATATGCAATGCCGCAGT